ATATATATATATATATATATATGCGCCTGCGGCAACAGGCCACTCGTGCAGACACAACGAGCACCAGCAGCAAAGCAGCAAACAAAGGCAAAAAGTTAATCGGCAAAAGAAATGAAAGGCTTATTTAATTAATTAGAACAAATGGCTAGTTTATCACATAGTTAGAAAAATGACTTCTACAAAGGTACAAGCATGCCAAACCCTAAACCCGAAGCTCCAATAAACACCCCCCACCATCTGGCTGTGCAGCAGCAGCACCACAGCAACAGAACTGCTAAGTTTTCCCTCCGCCACTTTTATTTTTTAATTTGAAATTAGCTTTATTATAATTGTTTGAGTAAAATAAAAGAAAAAGGATAGAATAAAAAGGGGCGTTGTAGGGTTTACAAGACAAGCGTTTAGGGCTTAGTTCTAGGGCTAGGGGCTTGCAAATGGAGGAGTTGGAAGAGGACTCACCTTATGAGGGGGTCGCTCCCACAGCAGCAGTAGCAGCAGCAGCAACATCAACGAGAACAACAACGGAACCTCAGCCAGCGACTGCATCTGCAGATGCCACTATCCCAGCCGCAGAAGCACCAGCAGCAGAAGCAGCAGCAGCAACAGCAGCAGCCACACAGGATGAGTGGGGCCTGTTTGGTGGTGACGAAGACTCCTTAGACGGGGACAGCGACCTTGACAGCCCAGCAGCAGTAGCAGAAGAAGAAGATCCAGAAGAGGATCTGCAGCAGCAAGATGTCCTTGCAGCAACAGCTGCAACACCAGCAACTGCAACACCAGCAGCTGCAGCTGCAGCTGCTGCTGCAGCAGAGATGGAAGCAGCTTGCTGTAGCAGCAGCAAGTTATTATATTCCTATGGGTTAAGCGAAGAAAAAATAAATTATAAGTCAACAGAAGAATTATTTCTTTTTGCTGCAAAGATTAACGAAAAAAATATCAATGCAGCAAGTAAATTATTTAATTAAAAGTTGTTTAATTAATTTACGTATTTGTTTATTTATTTTGTTCATTTCTTCTGGTTTGCCTGTCTATTCTTCCCACTTTTGGTCTATAAGCTAAGTATATATTTGCTCCTTCTGTCCTTGCTGCTGTTGCTGTTGCTACAGGGACATCGCTGGAGCAGCAGCAGCCGGACGTTCGCGCTGCGCTGCAGCGGCGGCTGCTGCGGCTGCAGGAGAAGGGGAAGCTGCTGCTGCCGCTGCACCCCCTGCCTCCTTCTAAGTTGCTGCCCATACCCGAGGTGCTGTTGCAGGAGCAACAGCAAGAGAAACAACAGGCGCAGCAGCAGGAGCAGCAGCAACACGACGATTTAAAGTATGAGGCTGGAAGCATACACAAGGAGCAGCAAGAGCAGCAGCAGCAAACAGCTGATCAGCAGACGGCAGCTGCTGTTGCTGCGTCTGCTGCTGCGTCTGTTGCTGCATCAAATGACGGCACAGCAGGGGCACAAGAGGCATCAGCAGCAGCAACACAGGAGGCTGCAGCAGTCGCAGCAGAGAAACCGGCCGATGCGCAGCCAACTAGAGAAGCAGGGCCTCGAGAAGCAGCAACAGCAGGAAGTTCTGCAGCAGTAACACCAGCAGCAAGTGCAGCAGCAGCAAAGAGACACCTGAAAATTATAAGGGAGCAGCAGCAGCAAATTAAACAACTGCAGCCTCACGACATTCTCTTTGGGCATATCTACAGTAAATTAAAAGTAAGCAGCTGCGGTTGTTGCTGCTGCTCGTGCAACATCGTCAACAGCAGTTGGCAGCTGCCACGTAGTTCCAGTCTTTGCTGCTGCATTTCCTGCTGCATTTGGTGTTGTTGCTGCTTCTCTTGCTGCTGCCTTTGCTGCTGGTACACTTGCTGCTCAATGTGTTTCCCCCGTTGAAATTTTCTTTGCTGTTGCATTTGTTTTTTCCTTTGCTTCTGTCGTTGCTGCATCTGCTGCTGCATCTGCTGTTGCTGCTGCATCTGCATCTGCTGCTGCATCTGCTGCTGCTACTACTACTGCAGGGGTTATTTCCTGAGCTGTTGGACGCCAGTTTGTATGAAATGGCGAAGGAGGCCGTTGCAGCAGCAAAAGCACAAAAGCAAAAAAGTGTTGTTGCAGTAGGCTGCCATTGCTTTTGCTGCCGCTGTTGCTGCTATTGCTGTTGATGCTGCCGCTGCTGCCGTAGCATCTGCTGCTGCCCTCGCTGCTGCTGCAGTATGCGTTGGTGCTACTACCGTATGCCCTATTGTTCTTGCTGCTCTTGGGTGTTGCTGGTGCTGGTGCAGGCGTTGAAGCGGAGAGCAGCTGTTGCAGAGATACGGCGAGGTAAATAAAAAGTTAGAGATAACAAAAAGATAAACAAAGACACACCAAGGCACACCAAGGCACACCAAGGCAAAGGCACAAGATAACGACACACAAGGACACATAAAGGCGAAGGCACATAAAGACAGACAGAGACACATAACAACATACAAAGACACGCAAAAACACACAAAAACAAAGGCACGCAAAGACACACAAGGACAAAGTCACACACACACACACACACACACACACACACACACACACACACACACACACACACACACACACACCGAGAGAAGTGCCTGCTGCTGCTTCTATCTGCTGGTGCTGTTGCTTCTGTCTGTTGCTGCTGCATCTTCGGGACTACTGCATCTTTTTTCTGCTGCTGCTGCTGCTTCTGTCTGCTGCTGCAGCAAGGCTTGAAGCCCGCCTCGTCTTGGAAAGGAAAAAATACACACTGCACGGCAAGCAAACCTAAACAACCTGCAGCAGCAACAGCAGCTCTGCAGCAGCAACAGCAGCATGAAGAGTGACAATGGCCTGCAGCAATAGGCTGCACCAGTCGTCTGCCTTAGCAGCATCACTACCTGCAGCAGCGGAAGCTGAGCATTGCCTTGCTGCATCAGAAGGAATGGCAGCCCTGCATGCTGTTGCAACGGCAGCAACAGCGGCCACTGCTTGTACTCTCGATGCATCACGTGCAGGTCAGCATTCATCAAGGATATAAAAGGTGTACTCTCTAAACAACCGCAGCAGCAATAGCTGCTGGAGCACAGCAGTTGCTACGTTCCAGCAGCTGGGCGGCAGCAGGTGCATCTGTGCTGCTGCTTTTGAGTGTCGTCTGCCGCACTATATTTTTATTATTTTATTGTAAACGGCGTAATTGACATTAACGTGTATATTGATATTTTATTTTACGTTATTTTAGCTATATACTATCATATGTTACTTTATATATTTATATAGTATAGATGATATATTTATTACGTAGATATTATATGCCACACGCTACGAAAATATGTAAATATATTTAATTAATATATCCACTGAATATACAAAATAAAAGCATAATTACTGTTTTCATACAATAAATAAATATGTAATCTACTTAAAATGTATTTATATATCTATAACCAGCCGTACTACGGCAAAATAAGTCTATTGGAGTAATCCCTGCCGCTGCTGTTGCTGCTGTCGTTGCTGCTGCATAGGTGCCTGCTGCAGTATGTAGCAACAACACTACTAGCAGTAGTAGCGGCAGCAGCAGTGGCAGCCGGAACCTCAGCGCTTTGCGATGCGCCATACTCTTCCCTCATGCAGCACACAATAGTGAAGCTGTTGCTGCAGCAGCTGCTGCTGCTGCAGCTGCCTGTACTGCTGCTGCAGCTTCTTAAGTTCTTCTTCTGATGAGACGAGAGAGACTACACAACCAGGGTTGCCGGCTCGCCCCACTCGGCCGCCGCGGTGAGCCAGCGATAAGGCATCTGCACCAGCAGCAACAGCACGGTAGCATATTACTACGGATTACCAGACAAACAACCGGTTGCGCAGTGCAGGAAGTGTGGCAACAACGAATATAGCAGCAACAAAGGCAACAGCAACAGCAACTAAGCTACATGCGCAGCAGCAACAGCATACGTTTCTTTACCTCCTGGGACATCAAAGTTGATTGCGTGTGTGAGGAGAGGCAAATCGAGTCCTCTTGCTGCTGTCTCCGATGCAACGAGGATAGCAGCAGTAGCAGCAGCCCCTGCAGCAGGAGGAGGAGCAGCAGCAAGCTGCATCATGGCATCAACAGCGGCACGACGATCAGTACCTGCTGCTTCTCCTTGCAGTAGCACACATTTCCCCCGCCCCACACGAAGAGACAACGCGCGGTGGAGATATGATGCTGCTTGCTGCAGCAACAAACACACAAACCATGCGTGCACGGACGCATGCATGCATGCAACAAACGCATGCATGCATGCAACGAACAGCAGCGAAGACACCCCAATATTCTACTAAAATGCTTATTTACATGTAAACGGTTAATCATAATTTAATTCACAGTCTAATTTACTATTTAATGCTCCTTACCGGTGACCTGCAAAAGACAATACACCTCTTGTTAATAGGCTCTGCCCGTAGCAGCAGCAGCAGCAAACCAACTTTGTGGATGCGCTCCCGAGCAAACAACGCAAGATGCAGCAGGTTGCAAGGAAGTGCTGCTGCTCCTGCTGCAGCCGCTCTTGCTGCTCCTCCTTTTTTTCCCGCAGCATCACTCCCATCCTCGGCACCCCCAAACGCAGCTGCTGCTGCTTCAGCAATAGCAGCAGACCTACCGAGGGCCCCCAAAATGGCTTTAGGGGCCTCTCTCAAAGTTGCAGACGCCAGCAGCAAACGTGGGGCCCCCCTGCCTCCTCCGCTGCTGCTGCAGCAGCGCTGCAGCAGCTCAATCAGATCGGCAAAGCGGTCCTTCTCCTTGTTGCTGGTGGTCCTGCTGCTGCTGCTCCTGTTGCTGCTGCTCCCGCTGCTGCTGCTCTTGTTGCTGCTGCTCCCGCTGGTTCTCGCCTTGTTGCTGCTGGTGCTCGTGTTGCTAATGCCAATGCTGCTCGTGGTACTGCTGCTGCTGCTGGTGCAGAATGCATCTGCTTCATCAACAACGGCAAACGCCAGGTCATGGAACTGCAGAGAGCCTAGCGCTTTAGGTTTCCTCTGCTTTTCTTGCTGTTGGTGTTGCTGCTGCCTCTGCTGGGCCGATTTAAGGCGCAGCAACTGCAGCAGACGGCCTGGTGTAGCAACAAGAAGATTAGCCTTTTGTTTCCGCAGTCGCAGCAGCAGATGCTGCGCATTTGCGCCTCCAATTAGCAGCGCGGGCCTTACTGCTTCAGGGCAGCAGCAGGAACCCCCTGCTGCTGCTAGTGCTGCAGCGGAATCCGCAGCAGCAGCATCACCAGGAGGTGCTGTTGCTCTTTCTGCTTCTGCTGCTGCCTCTTGCCGCTGCAGCAGCCCCTTTTGCTGCTGCTGCAGCTGCTTACTAAAGTGGCAGCAGAGTCTATACACCTGAGCAGCAACTTCCCTACTGGGGGCTAACACTAACGCCTTAATGCCTCCCTTAATACGAGAAAGACTTGCACAGACGTGCTGCTGTTGCTTGTGCTGATGCTGCTGCTGTTGCTGTTGCTGGTCAGCAAGAGTAAGCAAATACTGAAAAATAGGCAGCAAATACGCCAAGGTCTTTCCGCTTCCGGTTGGGCCCGGAAGCAGCAGCACATTGTCCCTGCTGTGACGTGGCTGCTGCTGCTGCTGATCATGACGATGATGCCACTGAAGAGCTCGGTGCTGCAGAGGAGACAAAGAGCGAATACCGCCAAGCAGCAAACAGCGCCGCAGTGCGGGCTGCAGCAGATTCACGTAATCAGCCACCCTGGTGTTGCTGCTGCTCTTGCTGCTGCTGCTGCGTTTACTGCCAACCCTGCCGCCGCCGTCGAGGTCTGCAGCAGCAGGAGAATGCACATCTTCATACTCCAAACCCTGCTGCTGCTGCTGCTGTTGCTGCTGGTGTAGCAGCACCTGTTGCTGCTGCTGCGGCGGCAAACCGAATGCCTCAGGAGAGAGATACGGTAAAGTGCTAAGGTCCACGACCCCATCTACTCGTACCTGCTGCTGATGCTTCTCCTGCTCCTGCTCTTGCTGGGGGACAGCTAGGATACCAGGAGTTAGAAGTTGCAGGTCCCTTCCTTCGGCTCTTGCAGCAGCCACTGCAGCAAAAGCAGCAGCAGCAGCTGCTGCTGCTCCCTCATCATGCTGCTGCTGCTGTTTTGTGCCTTTGCTGATGCCTCTGCAACTCGATCGGTCGGGGCATGCACTCCTCTGCTGCTGCTGTTTCGGCGGTTGCACTTGCTGCTTCTTCTGCTGCTGCTGTTGTTGCTTCCGTTGATTCTGCTGCTCCTGCTCAGCATCCTTCTCCTGTACTTGCATCAGCCGCGACGGCGCCGCACCTGTCATGCTGGCCTGGTGCTGCAGCAGCTGCTGCTGGATTTGCTGCTGCCGCCGCCGCCGGAGCCTCCGTGTTTGGTCGCTGCCTAGTAGCTGCAGCGCTTGTGTTTCAAAAGAGTTGTTGCTGCTGCTCTTGCTGCTGCCTGCTGCAGCACGAAGCTGTCGCCGCAGCAGCTGCTGTTGCTGCTGCTGCCAGAGCAGCATATTTTGCCGGTTCACCTGCTCTGGCGGGGGGTGTCTCCTCTTCAACCCCTTTCGCTGCCGCTGCTGATGCATGCTCAGGTGCAAAGGGCTCGCAGACGCAGCAGCAGCAGGAATGGAAAACGTTAATACATAGGCCCAAGTACCTGCCAATGCGGCAAGGTTTAGCAGCAGCAGCACTAGCAGCAGCACCAGCTGCTGCTGCAGAGGGCGCACGAGCAGCAAGAGCCCTTTGGAGCGTCTGGGTTTCCCATGCTGTCTAATGCCGCACATTGTTGCCCGAGATATCAGAAGCAGCTGCAGCAGCAGCTGTCTCCTATTGCTGCTGGCACTGCTTGAATGGGCTCGAGTAGACGCCGCTGCGGATGCCGCTGCTGCAGTGCAGAGCAACAAGCAGCAGCAGCAGCAGGATCTGCTGCAGCTGCTGCGCAGCAGAGATCCATTGCCTCCCTGCTGCTGCTGCAGTTTCTGCTGCTGATGCAGGCTGAGATGGCAGCTGTCGTCAGCAGCTGCAGCATTGACTGCACACACTAGCGGCCTTGAGGCTGCTGCATGTCAGAGCTTTACTGAAACACCAACAGCAGCAGCACCAAAGTTCCCAAGAGACATCACCACAGGAGCTGCATCGACACGAGCAGCAGCATCAGCAGCAGAGGGGCCCTACGCAGCCGCAGCTGGTGGGCGTTGCTGCAGCAGCAAAGGGGAGCTTGTCCTCATACAGACACTCTGCTGCTTCTACTTATGATTTGCTGTAACATTGACCTTATTTTTTAATGGGGAAGGCATGCTGTTGCTACTGCTGCTGCTGCTATTACTGCGACTGGCCTCGTGCTGCACCCGCTCAGCCCCTGCTGGGGGCAGCCGCCGCCACAGCAGCAGCAGAAGCAGTAGCAGCAGCAGCCGCAGCTGCAAGAGCAGCAAGAGCAGCAACAGAAAGCATCTTATACAGCACGGGAGGGTTTATCATATCATATTTGTAAATACGCGTTTGCTGGTTTGCTGCATCGGCTGCGATTCTCTCGTTGTTGTTGGCGGTGCTGCTCCTGCTGCTACTGCTCCTGTTTCTGCTGCTGCAGTGCTACTGCTGCTCTGTCCTCGCTGCAGCAGCGGCTCCTAACACCATTGCATCTTCTGTGGGATGCATTTAATCGCGAATTGGGCCACGGGGCTTTTTTAGTCTGCGTCGGGGCCCTCAGCAGCAGCAGCAGCAGCAACCGCAGGAGCGGCAGCAGTAGCGACGCCTCCGTCGCTGCGGCAGCAACACCAGCTGTTGCTTTTCTTGCAGTTGTATACTGATCAGAAGTGTCGGCTTAGAGGATTGATTACTTTTTATCACACTCCTGCTGTCGCTTTGCGTTCCTGCTGCTCCCCTGCTGCGGCTTTTGTCGCTCCTGCTGCTCTGTACGTGTACATATAAGGGTTAAGGGTCTTTTCTGCTGTTGCTGTTGAAAGAGATGGTTCGTGCTGTAGCGCAGCAAATTACTGAGGGGTCTTCTGTGCTTCCTGCAAAGCACAGCAGCTTCTCCTCTGTGGAGAGCTGTGCTCCTGCAGCAGCAGCGACAGCAACAGTTCTCTCCAGCTCTCCTTACACTGCTCTTGCATGGAGGGAAGGTGCAGGATGCACAACAACAGCAGCAACAGCTTCCGGGGCTGCTGCTGTTCCATGCTGCCACTCGGAATCTTCGCTTCTTGCAGACGGATGCCTCTGCTGCGCTGCTGGCCAACAACAACAGCAGCACCAGCAGCAGCAGCAGCAGCTGGCACAGCTGTTTAGCTGCTGCGATACGACAAGTGTCGATGGTCTTCTTTTAGGTCTTCTCGCGAAAATCTCCGCTGAGCATCCGCTGCTCGTGCAAAAGAAATTCTTATTAGGGAATAATACAGATAAAAATGGAGTAGGAATGCTGCATCTGGTGCTCTTGCTCCTGTTGGTGCTTCTTCTGTTGGTGCTGCTAAGGCTGTTGATGCTGCTTTGGTTCTGCTCGTTTGATGCTGGCTGTGCTACCGTATCTATTCCTTCTTCTGCCGCCACATTGGTTGCTGCTGGTGGTTCTGCTGCTGCCTGTTTATCGCTGGAAAATGGTCTTCTATCATGCAGATTCTCCTGAGAAGCTGCAGCAACAGCAGCAATAGCAACAGCAGCAAATAGTTTCGTTTTTGTGTGTTTCTCCTGCAGCAATGTCCTGTGACTATGGGTTTACGGGAATCTGATCTATCCTGGAAGACAGCAAATTTGCAGCAGCAGCAGCAGAACATGGATCCATCCTTGCTACTCAACAGCATCAGCACGAGCCCTCGTATAGTGGTGATAGGTCTTGAGTTCAGCAGCAGCAGCAGAGACATGCGGTTGCTTCGATGGGCTCGCCGTCATTTGCTGCAGGCAGCAGATGTTGTTGTCATTGTCTCTTGTTGGGAACTAGCGAGAGAACCTAAATACTGTAGAGTGCCAGGTAACCTGCTGATGTGGCTGCTGGTGCTGCTGCTGTCGTTGCTGCTGTTGGTGTTGGTGGTGCATGTGCTGCTGCCGCTTTTTTTGTTTTTGCACTCAGGGATGATCCTTGCTGCAACATCAGCAGCAGGCGCATACAACAGGCAGCAGCAGCAGCAGGTGCAGCAGCGCATGCGGGAGTTAGCACAATCAGCACTTAAAGGCCTACATGTCTACTGCCTCGCCGTACCCATCAGTGAGTCTCCTGTTGTTGTTGCGGCTGCTGCTGCTTGAGGAGTGTGGTATCGTGCATACTGGATGCATGCATGTCTGCATTGTTTTTAAATGCCTATAATAATCATTTTTATTTCCATTATTTTTTATTATATATTATTGGTTGTATATTCGTTATTGTTCATAGTAGTGTTTACGCTTGTCATATATGTGGTTATTCTTATGTTTATGCTTCGTTAAAATATAGTATTTTTACATGCTACATATTACTACTTTTACTAATGTTATTATTATTGTTGCCGTGGGGTGTCTCCGTGTACACCTCGATTGTAGTGTATATGTATATGTATGTATATTATTTTACTTATCTTCATATTTTTCGAAAGGCGTTACAATGATGTAAATAACAAAAAATAAGTATAGTGTGAGTATATAATGTAAGTATAATATAAATGTAATAAGTACACCATTATTGTCTTTTTTGCGGTGTATAGGCAGCACAAGGAAGACATCAGTAGGGGGTTTACTATGTAAAGCAGCAAGACAACTAAGAGCTGATGTGCTGCTGCTAGGTGCCAGAAGGCATTGGCCATTAAGACGTGTCTTCTTTGGCTCAGTAGCTAACTATGCAAGAGCGCATGCAATCTGCCCCGTGCTGCAGTGCTCTAATGCATAGCTGCAACAGCAGCAACAACAACAGTGGAGAGCGGTGGGTGCAGCAGGAGAAATGGATGCAAAGGCGGGAACAGCAGCCGTATCAACAGATGGGATGTTGCAGCAAGCAGATGCAGCAGCAAGATGAGCGCAGCAGAAGCAGATGCCGAGTATAGTGGAGGAGAGTGATTCATTCAGCAGCAGCAGCAGACAGCACATGAATTGCAGAAGCAGCAGCAGCAGCAGCAGTAATCATGTGTCCATATGTTTGGTAAAACAGCAGCTTAAAGTGCTGCTTGCATGCATTGTTCGTACATGCAGGATAGGTGGTGTTCCTGCTGCAGTTGCAGCAGATGAAACCCTCCTTCCTTCGTACAGCAGCAGCAACAGCAGCAGCTAATGCAGCAGCAGCAGAAGCAACAGCAAATTGAACAGCAGTGGCAACATCAGGATGTGCTGACATAAGACGGAGCCGCAAGCCGTTTGGCTTTTGCTATGCATGCAGCATTAAATATACCTGTCTTCTTGCTTCCTGCTGCAGTAGCAGCAGCAGCTACAGCAGCAGATGCAGCGGAAGACGGGTGCTGGGAAGTTGTGCCTTTGTTGGTTCTATTGGGGCGTTCGCTTCCTGTAGCAGCAGCAGCAACTGCAGCAGCAGCAGGAGCCGCAACTGCAGCAGATGCAGCAACAGCCCCATTTCCTCGTATTTATTCTTTTCTTTTCTTATAGAGGCTGCTAAAGGCAGGAAGAAGATCTTGGGACATGCAGACAGCCTGCTGCAGCAGCAGCTACTGCTGCAGCAGCGGGAAGGACAGCTGGATGCACAGGCGTTTATGTTGGGGTGTGTGTACACCTGGATGCAGCAGAGGCTTCTCGTGCTGCATGCAGGAGGTTGTTCTACGGGGATTGTCTTTATATACCCTCGTGTTAGTGTATTAAAGATACATATTTGTTAGTAAATATAATTAATTAATATAAATATACATATACTTAATAAATATATATATAAATATATTTATAAATGTATTTATTCAATATATTTACAAATATATTCAATAAGTATATTTATAAATATATCATATATATATATATA